TGCCGTAGGCATATCCCAGCACCTTGAACAAGCCCAAGGAGCGGACGTTTATTGGTCAGCCAAGCTTGTCGAAAAAATTGAGCTAAAACCAAGCAAACCGTATCTTAAATCGGCCGAGCATCATGAGCTTCATGCAGATGGCACAAAGCACGAACATGACCGCTGGCACCACCATGGAGACACGCCAAGCAACATTCGGCTCCATTCCGGAGGCCACCATAGGATTGAAAAGCACCGACATCATAAAAATCCTCAGCGATTTATTTAAACAGTATCACACCCAATGTTCGCGTTCACGAGCAATTTGCAGAAAAGCTTGTGAAAGCGCATGCAAGCTGCTGGGTCACGCCGCCGCCCAGGTTGCCCCAGCCAGCTGCAGTGGCGTTGGCCGTGCCGACAACCTGCATTGACCAAGTTTGAGGCCTGAAACATTCAAAAGCACGAAAACACATGTATCTGAAATAAGCTCTGGCAACATTCGGGGCAAACATCAGCGAGCACCAAAACTGATTGGTCACGAATGTGGCACCGGCGCAGCCTGGAAGGCAGGGCCAGCGCGGGAAAGCCGTAGGAAAATTCGGTGACAAGGCCAGCAGTAGTGGCAGTTCTATCAGAACACAAACAACACCAGCCACGGTACAGTCATTCGATGTAGGCATGCAGCAGCAGGTCCAGCACCGGTGGACGCCGTAATGCCGGCAAGAACCGCCATTACGGCATTTGCAGTCATGACGACGGCGATGACGATGATTGCAACGATGAGGTTTCTGGATTTTTGATGATGATGGAAAGCATGGTGAGGGTGATGATGCTGGTGATGGGGGTTGTGATGATGATGAGGCTGATCTATCACCCGTACCAGTAATACCTTCCTACAATCACTACTAGCACTAGCACTTGCAGTCGTAGTCATAGTTTTCGTCGTGGTGGTAGTCGTAGTAGTAGTGGTAGCAGCAGCAGCAGCAGCAGTAGTGGTGGTAGTAGTGGTGGTAGTAGTAGTAGTAGTAGTCGTAGTGGTAGTGGTAGTAGTAGTGGTAGTGGTAGTGGTAGTGGTAGTGGTAGTGGTAGTGGAGTGGTAGTGGTGGTAGTAGTAGTAGTAGTAGTGGTCGTCGTCGTCGTCCCGAAATATGGTCTTCGTGTTCTACACGCTACTAGGGCCTAGGATACTTTCCCACGCTCCATTCAACAAACTGGCTTCTGTTGTGGCATGAGGCTTCCCGCAGGTGGTCACGGCCTGTGCAAAGGTGGCATGTCAATACTGTGCCATGCATCCATTTGAAATTTTGCAGTTCTCCCCACACATCCTGACCTGCCTGGCGCGGTCGATCTCCTTGAAAACATCCTGAACTTCAAGAGGCTTGAACGCCGACTCGTGCACGTCTCAGCAAAACGACCTCCGAGTCCTTGGCCTCTTCCAGGGCCTAACTAACAAAAAAAATCGAGAGCGACCCCGCTTGCACAACCGAGCATGACTTCAGGCTGAGTTGCCAGCCCACCTATTTTCAATGCCCCGCTGCATTTGCAGGACTCTCCTTAGATCACTGCTCAGTTAACAACACCTATATGCAACTGGAAATTGACGCCAACTCGGGCTGAGGGCCCCGCTCTGCAGTCGAAGCGTTGATCACTCGTGTGCAAGACGTACGCGCAGGCGTGCTGCGTTCGTCTTGCAAAGGCTGCACAACCTCAGGATGCGCGTAGCGGCTGTTGAATACCGTGCAGCATCTTGCCACATTAGTAAATGCATGTTGCTTGATTTGGGGTTGCTGCCTGTTGATTTGGGGTTTCTGACTTTTGTGCTTGGAGAAACAAAACAAAGCATGGGACCCTCTTCACACTTGGTAATGTCAAAAACCATGTAAGAATTTCAGCAACAGGATTTCCATGTTCCATCCTGGAGATGTGTTTGTTTCCACTATGCTGAAAACCAAAACATGTTCTTGTCAGTGTCGAGGTCGCCCAGAACTCCTAGGAACACAGACCCTGTCACGGTACGTGTACTTGTAAAGATCAGATCTTCTGGCGCGTCATGGTACGAGTGTTCTGTCGTCGAAATAGACAAGAAAGGAAACGTTTGACACGCTCTGCACATGCCGCATCGGGAGAGCCAGGACCACAGCAAGGGCACGCGGCGAGAAGGGGTCACCTTGTGGCAACCCTAGACAGTTGGACAGGCTATGGGGGATCACGGCACCCGCAAAGCAAGGCCAGCGTCGATGCGTTTTCTTTGCAAAACCGAAAGCGAAATCGTGTAATCCAGACTGCCGAAGGCTTTTTGATAATCCAAAGTCATCGCGAAAGGATGTTCTGCAGCATCAAATTCGAAGCCAAGTGCGCAGAGCAGGGTTTCAGCGTCGTGGCCTCGGAGACCACCAGCTTGACTATGTTCAAGGCAAGAGGCAAGCGGGGCAGCAAGCTCTTGCAGACGAAGACGAGCCCAGAGCCGATAGATGGCACTGCCCACGGCAATGAGCCTGGTGCCGCCTGCACTTGCCAAACGTCTTCCGAGCCTTGGGCAAAAAGACAACCTTCCAGTGAGTCCAGTGGCACATGGCTTCCGGAAAGGCACCTTTTGCTTCACACAGTTGAAGAAGCTCACCCAACCTGTCTAAAGCCTCGTCAGGGAGACTGCTAAGCACGTGGGGCGAGCTCCATCAAGGCCACCGACAGAGTGGATCATCTTTTGGACTGCCTTTCCTTGCTGATGTTGCACGAGTGCATGGGTTGGAGAGCAGGGAAGGGGAGCCGCGGAGCACGCAGATAGCCTTCATACTGACCCCAGAAATGCTGCAAATCAGTAGAGGACTCACCTTGCTGACCAAACACGGATTTCCAGTGCTGACGCAAGTGCTCCACAGCACGGGCCGGTTGAGTGATGACTATGCCATCCTGCAGTTCCTGGACTTGAGGGGCAGCTTCGTCACGCCGCAGCCACTTACAAGCTTTAGAAGTGTTTTGCAGTTTTGCATGTCGGCGCGCCATTTGGCCTTGGCAGCATCGTGCTGACTGCTCCACACAGCATTCAAGCGGTCACTAGCTAACACAAGGGCTCTGCCAAACCTACCTTCGGCGATGGCACGCGACTCGAGCTCGGGGAGGCGAGGACGAGACAAGGAGTTTGACGACCCGCAACCTTGTGAGAAGCAGAGCACAGGCTAGGGGTGGAGCCGAGAGCACGCTGGGCTTTTGCATTCGCCAAGGCTTAATTGTGAGGCACGAAGCCATTTTCGACGACGTCTGAAGTCCAGGACGCCCAAGCAGTGTCGCCAGAACCCAGCACCGTCTGCCAAAGAGCATTGTGGTGCAGGCCATGGGAGCAGAGAACAGGAGTCAAGACCAGCAGCCTCCTTAAGTTTTGGCGTGCCTCCACTCGGCCAATGTTTGGGGACAGTAAGTGTCAAACACCGCTTTATTGAATGGTCGCCACCGCCAGCTTCAATCTCGACGGAGGCACCATTGGTGCAGACCTTCGATGGGAACTGTCCCAGAATTGTGACGGGCCCCATTGCTTTGCATGGACTCTGGCCAAGCACCGCTGTGCATGTTGACATTCCCACCCACACCTAAAACCCAAGACCTACACCTTCCAAAATCATGGAGGCTTCGGCAGCTTGAAATAGGACGGACAGGTTGGCATCAGCGGCCTGTAGGCAGGCAGCACACGGAGACTGCGTTGGGGACCATGCAACTGGGTGACCAGCAGCTGCCCTTGGTTGGAAGAGGTCCGCACAGCCACCGGGTTCTGAACGAGAACAGCCACACCACCTTTGCGACGACCTGGTTTAAGGACACAGGCGATTTGCCAACCCAGTCTTTGCACTGTGTGTGACACGGAGGGAAATGAGGTGGCCGTGATGTTAATAACTTCCTGCAAAATGATCACTTGGACATTTGCTTTTCGAGCCTGTTCCAGGAAGTTTAAACCGTGACGGTGCCAAGAAGACACATTGTAGAACCACACACGCAGCGGCTGGGGTCCCGGCAGGGAGGCTTCGCCAACACGAACAGCGCGCAAACCGCATCTGGTAGGCTTTGTGCCCCCCGCGACGCGTGAGAGAGCGTCCTTGCCAGCGCCGAAGAACCCCAAACCATTAGCACATCGGCGGGGGCTAAACCGAAACCTAGGGCCTAGTCAAGAGGCATGCTTCTTTGCAACGCCCTTTATCTTGGCTTTCCGCAGCGGGGTTCCGCGCGTTGCTTTGGAAGTCTCCTTGCGGAAAGCTTTCCACTCGCGCTTTCGCTTTGTGCTTGAAGTAGGTTTGCAACTGCCTTTGAGGGCGGGGCAAACCTCGACAAAGAGGCGGTTTCGAGCGACAGTCCAGATGAGGCTCCACCTCTGTTGGTAGGTGTCCTGTGCGATACCAATCTTGGAGGGGAGGGTCTCAAGGCCACCATGCGGGAGTGGCTCGTTGCTGAGGCCGTGCATGTTCCACAAATGCCGGGATTTGATGCTGCACCCCTGCCCCGCGGACCCTAGTTTAGCTTTAATTTTTAAGAGGAAATAGATAATGGATAGGATTTGAATTACGATTTGGGGTCGGTTTTGGGGTCCCGGGACGATAAGGTTTAGATAGGATTCGGATACGACCCACATCGTGATTATTTTTGACCCTGCTTTCCTGTACTGTAGCACCTGCGCACTTCTAAAAATCAAAAAACTATGGTGTGGCAATTAATTTGTTGCACAAATGTTTCTAAAGCATTCTAAAAACAAAAAATCAAAATAACTCTTTGTGCTGTCTCTATTTGATCGGATTTGTCTCTTACTGTTTTTTGGCGCTCCCCCTAAAGAGAATCTGGAAAGCCCTCGATCCAGGGGATGCGGGGGGCGGAGCCCCCCACGAAAGGGTGGCGAATATTTAAGATTTCCCAACGAGAAGACGAGAAGTCACACATGCGCATTATCACGCACGGCTGAGCGACGTGAACAAAATAAGATTCAATAAGATTCAATAAAAATTTTCCGGAGGGATGTCACAATTGTATGGTTGTCTTATAAGATTCAATCAAATTCAATAAGATTTAATAAGATTCAATAAGATTGCTCCGGAGGGATGCCACAATTGTATTGTTGTCTTTTAAGAAACAATAAGATTCAGTAAGATTCAATAAGACTTAATGAGGTTCAATAAGATCTAATAAGATTTAATAAGAGTCAATAAGATTTTCCGGGAGGATGCCACAATTGTATTGTTGTCTTATAAGATTCAAGAAGATTCAATGAGATTTAATAAGATTTTCCGAGGAGATGCAACAATTTTATTGTTGTCATATAAGACTCAACAAGATTGAAATGCAATAAGATTCAATAAGATTTTTCCGGTCCGATTTTGGCAAGCAGCCGCGCCTTTCATCGTCCCACCCACCCACTTACCACCTCTACATCCCCAAACCCCTTGACTTGAAACCCCCAAGAGCCAAAAAGCCCTAAATACCCCGCCTAAGATTCGAAAGCCTTGATAATCTAAACCCTGTGATTCTGGACCGCAAAAGGTTAAGGATATTTCCCGATCAACACAAACCAAACAAGGGGTCAAA